CCCCCCCCATTGAAGAGTAAGCAGACAATAACAGACGGGGGGGGGCACAGGAAGAAGACGTGTCTGCTGAGGGGGACAGAGCAGAGGGGTGGGGACCTGGGGGTGTCCAGCGGGAGCAGGGCTGGTGATGGGGGAGAGCGGGGGCTTGGGGGGGAAGCCTGCTGCCTAAGGGGGGGCTGTGCCCAGGGCAGTGTCCGCTGCTGGTGGCACAGGAGCCTGGGCCTTCAGGGAGGGGCTGTTAGGCCGCAGGGAGGAGTCCAGGGCAGGGGACTCGGGGACGAGCGGGGTGACACCCACAGGAGCCCGTGAGGGGACGGGAAGAGCCTCCATCGGGGACCAGGAAAAGCATGAGAGGGAGGGACACCAGCCGAGGGATCCCCGAGGGTGATGGAGGCCGGGACCTGGGGGCCCACCTGCCCGCCTGAGCTCCAGCCCCCAGGATCCTGGTCCCGCCCTGAGGCTCCCAGGGTCCCCGCTGCACGGGAGGCGCTGGCAGGCCCTGGGCCTCAGCGGGTCCTGAGAGCGGCCCTCCCTGCTGCGGGCACCCCCAGTCTGGGCGCCCCGAGCCCGGGCGCAGGCCTGGCTGCTCAGATCTTGGCCGCCGGCTGCCCTCCCGCCCAGTGCTGTCGCTGAGGTCCATGGAGCTCTCCCCTCTGGGAACCCAGGCGGGGAGCAGACCCCCCACGGCCACCCCAGGCTCCCAGCAGCAGGCCCCGCCCTGTGGCTGAGTGACAGACAGGAGAAGCCTAGGCCTAGGGTGGGCCTGCTGAGCCCACAGGCGGCTGTGTGAGGAGCCAGGAGGGGGGGAGTATGGGGAGCGGGGGGGAGGGGGCCATGGGGAGCCGGGGGGGGCATGGGGAGCGGGGAGGCCTGCACAGCGCCCCTCCCCCTGTGCCCCCCCTGCTGGGCCCACCCTGGGTCTGCCCCCACCCTCCCACAGGCAGCCGAGGCTCAGCGCCAGGCCCTGCTCAATGTGTGCACTGGGCTGTGGGACCCCCTCCCCCCACCGCAGACCCTGCCCCAAGGCCCAGCGGGGTGGGGGGGATGGGGGGCAGGAGCAGCCGGGTGGCCGGCACCCAGCCTCGCCCCGCCCTGCACAGCCGGGACTCTTGTGTGCGGACTTCTCTGCTGAAAGCCCAGCGCCCTGGGCAGAGTGGGCGGGAGCCAGCTGGCACGCAGCCTCTGCCCGCCGGAGCACTGGGCTGCACTGGCCGTGGGCGGGGGAGGGGGCAGCGAGAGGTCCTGCCGAACGCTGCAGAGCCTGGGGCTCAGTGCACGGTCGCCGCTCCGGAACCTTCTGGATCCTCGTCAGCTGTGGGGCCGCTCCAGGCTGCACTGTCCGCCCGCCGGCCCCCCAGCTCCACGCTCCCTGTCCTGTCAGTTCCCCCCGGCCTCGCTCACCTCCGTTCTCAGGCCTGAAGCATCTCTGCCATCCCCCCTCCCTCCCGACCTCCCTCTCCTGCCTTCTCTCCTGGGCCCAGCCGGGGTGCCGATTCCTCCAGGAAGCCCTCCCTGACCACCACACCCAGGCCCGGCTCCACGCCCTCTGCCCTCCCAGCCTCGGGGGCTGAGGGTGGGCCCCTGGGGGGCAAAGGGCCAGTTTTTCCTTCTTTCTGTCCCTGTCAGCAGGGCTCTTAAAGGGAGACTTTCGTTTGGATTCTGCTCTGGGACCCTGGCCTCCCCAGCCGAGCTCAGTGACGGACAGACAGACGGGCAGAGGCAGACCCCGTCCTGCTTCTGGGGAAGCAGAGGCTCCGGAGCCGGAACGGGCAGAGCCCCAGGCCCCTCGGGGGGCATCCAAGGTGGAGCCGGGGGACGGCTCAGCAGCCAGGGGGCTTCCCGAGAGTGTGTCCTCAGGGGCAGCCGGGACCCCCGCTGGATTAGCACTCGGGCCTCGGAGGGCGGGGGCCGACCAGGAGGCCAGCGAGGCCCCAGGGAGGCACCTGCCCTGCACCTGCAGGCCCGCCCTGCCCTGCGGGCCGCGGGCCTGGCCTGCAGGGGGAGTCAGAGGGCCGCCGCGCCGGCTGCTCCCTGCCAGCGGCCCTCACAGCCGCCCAGGTGGTGGCAGGTCCAGCTGAGTCCAGGGGCACGGGCCCCGGACCAGCCAGGGGGGCGGGCAGGCGGGTCCAGCCCGGGCACTGCTCCGGGCCCCTGGGCTCCCCTCACCTGTCCACTGGCTGACCACCTGCCGCTCCCAGGACTCAGCTTCAGACGCCGGGGCCCGGGACGCCCAGGCGGGCATTCTGGGTGCCAGGCTCTGCCAGACTGAGGACCTGTTGGCAGGCACGTGGCATCCCAGAGAGGCAGGTGGGTGACGCCAGGACCCGATAAAGGAAACGGCCGCAGGGAGACCCAGGCTGACCCCCGGCTCCGAGCCCAGGAGCCCACCCTACGCCAGAGCTCCAGCCCCCACTCCCCGCCGCCATCCCGGCCCCAGACCACAGCCCCCCTGCCCCAGGCCCCCTCAGCCCAGGTCGCCCCCGCCCTGCCCTCCTGACCCCCCCAGCGCTGGCTCTCCCGGGTTCACGCAGCAGCCTGACCCAGATCCTCGCCCTGAGCCCGGTCTTTCCTGTTCCGTCCGGGCGAGGATTGTAGTTGTCACCTCCGCCTGAGACCTGCCCTCACCACCGCCGCCCACTCCCGGGAGCTGTGCAGGAGGAAGACCCCAGAGGGCCTGGCCTCAAATCCTGGGTCTGCCTCTCGCCGCTGGTGACCTTGGACAGAACCCTGTATTCCCCGTGCCTCGGTTTCCCCGTCTGTAACATGGAGCCGGCACTGACCGATTTGGGGGAAGGGTGCTGGGAAGGTTGTGGGCACCTGGGGGCCAGACCCAGGGGCTGGCATGGTGGGCTGCTCAGTGTCCATGGGCCTCAGCCTGCTGGGGGCAGGGGCAGGCAGCAATGAGAGCTGCCTCAGGACGGGGACGGGGAGAGCAAGGGGAGGGCAGAGCCTGGTGAGCTTGGGCAGACGGGAGGGTGTGGGCAGGGGCAGAGGGCACAGCTGGGGACCAGGGGTGCGTGGGGCAGGAGCAGGGTGGGGGAGGGGCTCGCTGGCAGGCGGGGCTCTGCGAGGGGCGGGGCTTTGGGGGAGCTGCAGAGGAGGCAAGGGTCAGGAAGACCTCCTAGGCCACCCCAGGAGCAGGCCTCTGCTCCCCGGCCTCAGGCCGCTGCGGGAACAGCCTGGGCAGGGGGCAGTGCAGGAGGCCGGGGTGCTAAGCTGTCTCCCCGACAGGAAGGGGGCCGGCGGGCACATCTGGAATGAGGAAGGAGGGGCGTCGGAGCCAGCCCATGCCCTTCCTGTCTCCCAGGCCCCTCGGCAGCAGATGCGCCCCCAGGACCAGCTGCCGCTCAGGGCCCTGAGGTCCCTCCCCAGGGACAGCCTGGGGCAGGCCCCCGGCAGAGCTGCCTGGGCCCGGGCCCACGTGAATAAATGGGTGAGCAGGTGGCAGTGAGCCCCCCCTTCACTCTCACGGGCACCCCACGCCCTCCCTGCTGCCAGGCAGGGCCAGGGCAGTGGGAAGGGCCCACGAACCAGCCCACCGAGGCAGGAGCCCTGTTCCGGGCGCAGAGCAGGGGGCCGAGGCGACCACGGCCCGAGGAAGGCTGGGGCGGGCGGGGTCTCGGCCCGGGGCCGGGCGGGCAGAGTGGGCTCGCGCGGGGGCGGGGGGGGGGGGCAGGGCCGCGGGGATGTGCCCGCCGCGGGGGGGGCTGGGCCCGGTTGAACTGTGGCCAAGAAATGAGAACAGTCTGGGCACCGAGGCCTGGCCTCGGCTCTTTCCTCATTCCTGGGCTCGTGGGAGTAGCCGGACCCTGGCGTTCCTCCGCGGCCGCCACCTCGGATCTGCTTACCGTCTCACGGGGACGAGCCTCCTGCCAAACTCCGCCACCGGCAGCCCCGGCCCCGGGCCCACCGCCCCGCCCCTGCCCGCCTCCTGCTGGCGGGGAGACTGAGGCCCACGTCAGGGCGGGCCCGTCCACCTGCCCCCTCCGCACACAGAGGGCCGCCCCCTCGGGCCGCCCACCTGCAGCGCCTCCCCCGGGGCTGGGGCCAGGCTCCGCGGTGCCCGGTGGGCAGAGGGCGGACGGGCTGTTGATCAGAGGTTCCGCCGATGCCAGGCTGCTGGGGCCGCGGGCGGTGGCCAAACCGGCCAGGTGGCATGCCTCCCGGCCCTTGGCAGGAATGCCATTCATCCTCCGGGCATGGTTACCTCGGGCGAGGCCGGCCTCAGAGGAGGATGGTGCTGCCCGGGGCCTCGCTGCCTTCCCATCACCAGAGCGGGCGGGGGGGGGGGGGGCACCCCAGGGCACATGAGCCAAAGCCCAGCAGACACGGCTGGACGGACCACCAGCCACGCCCAGGCCAACTGGAGTCGGGGGGAAGGGAGACACCGAGGGAAGCAGATGGCGCCAGGGGCACCTGGCTGGGGCTCCCCACCCCAGGCTCCCCATTCTCCCGAGAAGAGCCCCAGCCCGCCCCCTGCAGCCCCCTCCCCCTGCAGCCCAGCCCCTGTGGGAGCCTCGCTCTGTGCAGGCCCCGCCCCCGTGGCCTCCTGGGTGCTCGCTGGGTGGGGCGGCCCAGAGCACCTGGAAGGTGTGACTCAGTCCGGCTGGGCCCTGGCCAGGAGCGGAGGGAGGGGGTGGGGATGGCAGGTGGTGCCCGCGAGGGCAGTGTCTGCGCCCGCGTGTCTGCGCCCGCGTGTCTGCGCCCCGCGTCTGTGTCCCGCGTGTCTGTGCCCGGGTCGGCGTGTCACACACGTGTTCTCTGATCCCAGCTTTATTGGAGCCGCTGCTCCCAGGAGCGGACACAGCGTCAGAAGCCCCGGGCCACACGGACCCTCACCCGCGGAGGGCCCACCGACAGCCAGGGAGGCCCGGGAGGCCGGGACAGGGCGCACGGCTCCTGGCGGCTCCAGGGCCCGAGAGTCCGTTCAAGCAGGAGGAGGAGCCGGTCTCGGGCAGCCCCCATACCCAGTGTAGGTCACAATAACTTAAGACACTATAGACATCTCACTATATCACAACATAAGTTAACCAGGTGCCCGGCAGAGGGCGGCGTGGGCGTGGGTCCTGGGGCCGGGGGGGCGGGGCGGGCGGGGACATGGCCTGGAGGGTTCCAGGACAGCAGCTAAGGGGTGTCCTGCCACCGCTGGGGGCACCGGGGGTGGAGGCCAGGCCCAGACCAATGTCCAGCCCCCGGGGCCGGCCAGCCGCCCGCGGACGCGTCTCCACCCACCCCGAATGACCCGATTTAGGGTGATGGTGGGCAGAGGAGGGCGCCCCGCAGTCCCCACACCGGCTTCCCAGCGGTCACCTCTGCAGCCCGGTCCCCCTGGGAGGTGGGAGTGTCGGCAGAGGACACGCCTGAGACCCGGTTTCTCGTCTCTCCCGCCCCCCGGGGATCAGAATGAGCCACACCCCCTCCCCCCGCTTCCCGTCTCCCAGGCTTCAGGGTGAGTGACCGCAGGGAGGGCCTGCGTGTGCGGGATTGGGGGGGTGTCAGGTGGGCCCTGCACAGGGTTGCCTGGCCCCAAGCTTTCCCCGCATCGGGGTCCGGGGGAAAGGCCAGGACGGGCAAGGACACACTGTCAAAGGCGTCTCAGGGGTGCAGAGCCGGGAGGCAGCAGGAAGGGTGCAGCGGATGTCTCAGGCGTGGGGGTGCCTCACCCCAGCCTGGTGTCCCCAGAGCTTGTCCCCTGGGGCAGGGAGCCGTGGCCGTGGGTCAGGACACCCAAGCATGGCAGGCACCCCACTCGGGTCCTGGGGCCTCTGTGGCCCCCTCTGTCCAATGAGGCAATGCCCTGAAGACTCCCGGTCCCCCGCACCCCGCTCAGCGCTGGCCTGGGGTCCCGCTGGCTCCGGGTGCGAGGGGCTCTGTAAACTGCGAGGGGCCAGGCTGGTGAGGGCTGGGGCCACAGCCGGGGAGGGGCGCAGCCTGGACCTGATGTGGGGACAGTGTGATCAGGGTGACGGGGTTTCTAAGATCTTTCTAAGAGCCGGAGCAGAGGCCCCGTGCAGGGCTGCCGCCGGTCTGGTCCCCACGCCCTGCCCGCTCACCGGGCACCGAGCCCACAGCCGCCTGTCCCGGGCAGAGCCGGGCAAGCTGGGGGGGAGCCGGGCAGAGGGCATGTGCTGCTGGGCGCGGGGTTAGGACCAGCTGGCCCTGTGCCGAGTCCCCTCTGGTTCTATGGAAACATAAATAATCTGTCCACGACCGCCCGGCCACGCCAGGGGGCCCGCAGCTGATGGCTGAGATAGTCTCACAGGAGCCGGCCGGCGTGGCCTGTCCGTGTTCACCCCACCAGGCCGGGCCGGGGACACGCGGAGTCCTGGCGTCTCTCTGTCCTCCAGGGCACGTGTGTCCTTGAGGCTTGCTTTCCGGAGAAAAGGAGAGGCAGCCCTAGGCCGGCCACAGGCGCTGTTCTGCCACAGGAAGCGAAGGAACGGCAGGAAGGAGCCTCGGGGCGGGGAGAGGGTGCTGGGCCCAGGGGTTCCTCCTGCGTCTGGAGCCCCACTGTCCTCAGCGTGGCGTGTCCAGCGTGGCGGGCGGCGTGGCCAGCGTGGCCGGGGCAGCGTGGCCTGGGCAGCGTGGCGTGGCCGGCGTGGCGGGTGGCGTGGCGGCGGCCTCACTTGCAGGTGAAGACCTCGGTGCGCTCGCTGCACGTGTTGCACTTGACGAAGCAGCACCAGTGGAACTTGCAGTTGCACTGCCACACGCGGGTGTACTGGTGCGTGTTGTAGCCGCGGCCGCAGCACATGGTGTGGCAGCCGTCGGCGCCGGGCGAGGTGCGGTTGCACAGCCGGCCCTGTGTGCCCACGCTGCCCGTGGCCGCGTCCTCCTCGCAGTAGTTGGGCGACTTCTCGATGTACACCAGGTCCGTCTCCATGGGCTTCTGGTAGCTGCGCAGCTGCTTGATGCGCAGGAAGGTGGGCTGCCGCAGCCGGCTGGCGCGCACCGCCTCCACCTGCACAGCCGCGCTGTACTTCTCCTTGAGCAGGTGGCCCACCTCGCGGAACTTGGGCAGCGTGGTCCAGCAGGTCTTGGTGGTGCAGGAGCCCGACACGCCGTGGCACTTGCACTCCAGCTTCATGCGCTCCTCCAGGACCTGCGGGCAGAGCGGGCTGAGCACCCGGAGCACCCTCCACCGCGCCCTCCGCCCTCCGCCCTCCGCCCTCCGCCCTCCACCCTCCGCCCGGGGCACCCCTCCTCCCGGAGCTCCCTCCGCCCGGGGCACCCTCCACCCAGGGCACCCCTCCGCCCTCCGCCCTCCGCCCTCCACCCTCCGCCCGGGGCACCCCTCCTCCCGGAGCTCCCTCCGCCCGGGGCACCCTCCACCGCGCCCTCCGCCCGGGGCACCCCTCCTCCCGGAGCTCCCTCCCCCCGGGGCACCCTCCACCGCACCCTCCGCCCTCCGCCCTCCAGCCCTCCACCCTCCCCCCTCCACCCTCCGCCCGGGGCACCCTCCACCCTCCGCCCGGGGCACCCTCCGCCCTCCACCCTCCGCCCAGGGCACCCCTCCTCCCGGAGCTCCCTCCGCCCGGGGCACCCTCCACCCTGGCCACCCCTCCACCCTCCACCCTCCACCCTCCGCCCGGGGCACCCCTCCGCCCTCCGCCCTCCGCCCTCCGCCCTCCGCCCTGGGCAGCCTCTGCCCTCCACCCTCCACCCTCCGTCCGGGGCACCCCTCCTCCCGGAGCTCCCTCCGCCCGGGGCACCCTCCACCCAGGGCACCCCTCCACCCTCCACCCTCCACCCTCCGCCCGGGGCACCCCTCCTCCCGGAGCTCCCTCCTCCTGGGGCACCCCTCCACCTGGGGCACCCCTCCATCCAGGCCCCCAGCCTCCACCCTCCACCCTCCGCCCGGGGCACCCTCCACCCAGGGCACCCCTCCACCCGAAGCTCCCTCCGCCCGGGGCACCCCTCCTCCCGGAGCTCCCTCCGCCCGGGGCACCCTCCACCCTCCACCCTCCGCCCGGGGCACCCCTCCACCCGGAGCTCCCTCCTCCTGGGGCACCCCTCCATCCAGGCCCCCAGCCTCCAGCCCTGGCAGAACCAGTCAGGGTGCTGACCGCCCTCCCGAGCCGGGCCGTGCGAGGGCCGTGAGGACATCTGAACCGGCAGAGCGGCACACACACCGTCTCCCGCAGCCCCGGGGGAGCCGGGCGATGGCGGCGGGGGGGACGGAGGCCTGGCTGCCGAGGGGCGTGTGCAGGTCCCGGCCGCAGGGGGAGCGGGGCGGAGGGCTGGAGCTGCATCAGTGTGGATTCCGGCCTGGCTCCCTCCCTGCCCTCCTGCTGGGCCTGGCGTCCGAGGGTCTGTGCCTGCCCACTGTGTGCGTGGGGGGCTCCCCGCACCCCGTTTGCTGCGGGGGGGAGGGGTGGGGGGGTGAGCCGGTCAGTGAGGCGAGGCGTGCCGTCTGCTGGGAAGTGTTTCCCCTCTGGCTCTGAGCGGCGTGAGGGCCGGTTCCCAGCGCCAGCCCTGACCCCAGCTACACATTTACCCGGATCGAAGGGCCTGCCAGCGCTGATGGAAGATGCGAATCATTAGCCCTGGCTGCGGGGCCATTTGTCAGCTGTCCCTGCGCCTCACTTCCGCTCCAGCTGGAGGACTGGCTGCCCTGCCCCTGGCCAGACCCAGCCCTCACCCAGGACCCCAGCCCTCACCCAGGACCCCAGCCCTCACCCAGGACCCAGCCCTCACCCAGGACCCAGCCCTCACCCAGGACCCAGCCCTCACTCAGGACCCGGCCCTGCCCAGACCCCAGCCCTCACCCAGGACCCAGCCCTGCCCAGACCCCAGCCCTCACCCAGGACCCCGGCCCTCACCCAGGACCCAGCCCTCACCCAGGACCCCGGCCCTCACCCAGGACCCCAGCCCTCACCCAGGACCCAGCCCTCACCCAGACCCCAGCCCTCACTCAGGACCCGGCCCTGCCCAGACCCCAGCCCTCACCCAGGACCCAGCCCTCACCCAGGACCCAGACCCCAGCCCTCACCCAGGACCCCGGCCCTGCCCAGACCCCAGCCCTCACCCAGGACCCAGCCCTCACCCAGACCCCAGCCCTCACCCAGACCCCGGCCCTCACCCAGGACCCCGACCCTCACCCAGGACCCGGCCCTCACCCAGGACCCCGGCCCTCACCCAGGACCCTGGCCCTGCCCAGACCCCAGCCTTGGCCCAGACCCCAGCCCTGCCCAGAGGAGGCGGCCACGGGAGGGCAGGAATGTAAAGGGGAGAGAGGGGCTGCCCACAGAGCCGGCCGCTGCCCATCTCTTTGGCTGCCCTGGCGGCCTGGACGCCGGCAAGGACATCCGTCCCGGGCTCATGGCCAGCGAGGGCAACGGAGGAAACTGCCACACAGGCACAAAGTGCAGGCCTCTGGCCTCCGCCTGCCGGGGGCTTCCTGGAGGAGGAGGTACGCCGCTGCATGTCCATGGAGAGCGTTAGGTGGAGGAGGTGCGTGAGGAGGTGCAGCTCAGAGGGAGCCTTTGGCCAAGCGAGCAGTGTGCGGGCGTGAGGCCGGCTGCTGGGGCTCGGGGCGGGCCCTCTGCTCCTGCGGGGATGACCCGCTGGGGGGGGATGACCCGCTGGGGGGGGATGGCCCACTGGGGGGGATGACCCGCTGGGGCGGGCGGGGATGACACGCTGGGGGGGGATGACCCGCTGGGGGGGGATGACCCGCTGGGGGGGGATGACCCGCTGGGGCGGGCGGGGATGACCCGCTGGGGCGGGGATGACACCCTGGGGCGGGGATGACCCGCTGGGGGGGGATGACCCGCTGGGGGGGGATGACCCGCTGGGGGGGGATGACCCGCTGGGGGGGGATGACCCGCTGGGGCGGGCGGGGATGACCCGCTGGGGGGGCGGGGATGACCCGCTGGGGGGGGATGGCCCGCTGGGGGGGGATGACCCGCTGGGGGGGGATGGCCCGCTGGGGGGGGATGGCCCGCTGGGGGGGATGGCCCGCTGGGGGGGGATGACCCGCTGGGGGGGGGATGGCCCGCGGGGGGGGGATGGCCCGCTGGGGGGGGGATGGCCCTCTGCTCCTGCGGGGATGACCCGCTGGGGGGGGCGGGGATGACCCGCTGGGGCGGGCGGGGATGACCCGCTGTGGGGGGATGACCCGCTGGGGGGGATGACCCGCTGGGGGGGGATGACCCGCTGGGGCGGGGATGGCCCGCTGGGGGGGGATGGCCCGCTGGGGGGGGCTGACCCGCTGGGGGGGATGACCCGCTGGGGCGGGGATGACACCCTGGGGCGGGGATGACACCCTGGGGTGGGGATGACACCCTGGGGTGGGGATGACACCCTGGGGTGGGGATGACCCGCTGGGGCGGGGATGACACCCTGGGGTGGGGATGACACCCTGGGGTGGGGATGACCCGCTGGGGCGGGGATGACCCGCTGGGGCGGGCGGGGATGACCCGCTGGGGCGGATCGGACCTGGGCCGGCAGGGACGAGGCACAGGCCGGAAGCTGGTGTGAGGGTCTGGGTCCAGGGCGGGCCCTGGTGGGACCCCTTCCCAGGGAGAAGCCCTCCTGTCCCTCCCCCCATGTCTCCTCTCCTGCTCCCTCCTCGCCCTCTCCACGCTCATCTCTGTGCTCCCCTCTCCTCAAAGCCCTTCTTCCATCACTGGCCCTGCCAGGTCCGGGGGTTCCCTGCCCTGGCCGCTGCCCCACGGACGCCCTCTCAGAGCCCCTCGCCTGGGCACCCACACCCCAGGCTCCTGTCCCAGATTCCTCCTCCTCTCAGAGACCTGGCCGGGCGCCCACACTGGAGGGGTTCTGGGCCAGGGCCGGGGTCCCGGGTGAGGGCTGGGTCCTGGCCAGGGCTGGGGTTCTGGGCAGGGCTGGGATTCAGGCCGGTTGGTCCCAGCTTAGCCGCCATCTGCGTGTCCAGTTTGGCTGAACAGCTGCCCCCCCCCCCCCGCCCCCGTGCCACCTGCCCTAACCCCTTCCCTCCGTCCCATCTTCCTGCAGCATCAAGGCCACAACCCCCCTCCTCCCGCCCCCCCCACGGGACCCTGTGAGCGGGACCAGGGGTAGATGGAGCCGATTGGCCGCTGTTTGCAGAGCGAGGGGCCGCATCCTCGCTTGGCTGGTCCCGCCCGGCCGCTGGGAAGTGATCGCAGGAGGGAAGAATGTGTCCTCGAGATAAGAGACAGCGGAGGTGGCGCCAGCCCGCGGCCGAGACACCGGGCGGTGCGGAGCGGCCGCTGCACCCGGGGCCAGGGCCGGAGCGGCTCCCCCAGCTCGGTGCCTGCCGTCAGCGGGGTGGGGAGATGGGGCTCCTCCTGGAATAAGGGGCGCCCCCACTCTGGGGACAGAGCTCAGGAATGCCGGGTTAGGGAAGAGGGAGCAGGTCTCACGCTCTGCCTGTCTGCCCCTGGCCCACAGGGTGGGGGGGACCGCGTGCCCGCCCAGGGCGGGCTGCAGAGGGCCCCCCTCAAACACACACCCACTCGGACCTCAGATTGAGATCTTCTTTGAAAACTCAGTTACCTCTTGTTTGCAACTGTAACTGAGGTGAGACCCAAGACCATTCTGGACAAGGGCGGGCCCTGTGTCTGAGGACATGGGGTGGGGGGCGGGCACATGCAGACAGAGGCAAAGCCTGGATGCTGGGGCCACAAGCCAGGAGCACCTGGCGCCCCCAGGGCTGGCAGGGGCAGGGAGGACCCTCCCCGGAGCCCACTCCTGACAATCTCCTCCTCAGCTCACAGCTTCACCCCAGTGCACCCCACATGCTGGCCCTCCTCCTCCTGCGTCTCCCTGGCAGCTGGGACCCGGCCCCAGCCCCCAAGCTCTCCTACCCCCATCTTACCCCCCCCAACCGGGCCCCATCCTGCTGGCCTCTTGCCCGATGCCTCTCGCCACCTGTCAGTCTCTGAGCACCCACGTCCCCCCCAGGCCAGCCATGGGTCCACACGGGCCTCAGAGCCGAACCAGACATGACCCTGGCCCCGGGCTGCTCGGCCCCCCGCTCCCGCAAGCGATGGCACCTGTGCCCAAGGGGCTGCCATCGGCCTGGCAGTCAGCCCTCTGCCCAGGCCCGCTCGGCCGCCCTAACCCCTCGGCTGGGCGGGAAGCCCGGCTGCACTGCGCGCGTGATCTTGGCCTGTGCTGGTCCCTCTCGGGCTCCCTTCCCCCGTCTCCGCCGCTCGCTCTGCCACCTCCCCACGGAGCAGCGGCCAGGGCCGGGGGACAGTGAGACCCTCTCCCCAGGGGCGTGCGGGCCCCACTCCGGGCCCGGCCGCTGCAGAGGCTGCGGGGGTGGTCCATGCGGGCCCGGCTATGCCTCCCCCCGGCTCCCATGCCTCCCTCGGCCCCTGGGCACCGGTCTCCACCCGCCTGTGCGCAGAGCAGCGGTTTCCACGCCCACGTCGCAGGAGTGTGTGAAACGTGCAACACGGACCAGCCAGCGGTCTGACCTCCTCCCTTAGGCTGTGGAGTGAAAAGCCGACAACAGCCAGCGCGGCAGCCACGCGGTGCGGGTGGGTGAAAACTACATCCGTGTGACACGTGGATCAGCACAGCCATGACGCGTGTTTCCGTGTGCGCCCACGTGCCCGGAGTGACACAGGCTGGCATCCCTGCCCGGAGGCTGCGCCTGCCTATCTGAGCTCCGGGGGCAGACCGCCCCTCCCCGCCATCTGCTGCTCATCTGACCAAAATGTAATGACCTCAGCAGAAAGCCAAACACTCGGCCTGGGTTCAAGGCCTGAGCTGGCCCGCCAGCTCGCCTGCCCTTCCTGCTGGGGCCCGCTGGAGTGCGTGGCAGCCTCGCCCCCTTTCCGCCTCCGGCACCCCCCCCTCCAGCGCCACCTCCTGCCTCTGCATCTCGGCTCTGCTGTGTCCCTCAGGCTCCGGCCGCCTCCCGGGAGCGTCTGCTCGCCTCCCGCTGGCCCAGGCTCTCGGGGACCCCGGGTGTGGCCTCTGCTCCCCCAGGTTCCCCTGTCGGTGCGGGGCAGCTCCCGGCCAGGGTCACGTGGGACTCTCCCTGTCCGCGTGTCCACCTGGGGGGCACGGAGCGCTGGCTGAGTGAGCGAATGAGCCAGCGCAGCGGCCTCCGGGGTGGTCCCTGGGGGCCTTTCTACTCCCTGCCCGGAAAGGCGAGCCTGCCCGCGCCTGAGCGCCCCTCGGCCTGGCGCCTGGTGCGGCGTTCTGCTCCGCTGCCTGCCCTATCTCTGGCCATCTTGCCGCCACGGTGGCCGCTCCTCCCGGCCCAGTATCTGGGGCCCGCATCTCCCCGAGGCAGGACTGGGCCCATGCTGACCTCTTCCCCAGTGTGTCCCTCCCCAATGTCCTCCATTATCCCCCCAGGCTGCGTCCACCCTGTGCACAGTGCCCCCCACCGGCATGGCCCACCCTCCCCGCCCGCTCCCCCTGAGGGAACTCCCCTTCCGCAGGCCTCCCAGGCCACTGAGCCAGCCCGCCTCCTCCAGGGCCTTGCTGTATCGGTATGCCGGCGTGGGCCCCTGGGGCCAGCCAGGGACAGGGGACTGTTGCCTGGGGGCCTGCCCCACCCCGGGGTCCCCAGGCAGGCCCAGTTCCCATTCTGCCTGCACCCAGGGTCCCTGTCTCCTCCTCCCAGTGGTTCCTGCGGGGAGGAGGGGCAGGCACATCCCTCACTCCCAGCCTCAGGGCTCACACCTGGGGAATGGGTACAGCGAAGGCCTCTCAGAGCTGCTGGGAGGATGGGAGGGACTGTTCTGCCCCGCCCCGCCCACACCGCACCCCAGGGTCCAGGCTCCCAGCTCACACCTCAGGAGGGGCGCCCAGCGCTGCGGAGGTCAAGGCCGGTGACCTAACCGGCCGCCCCCGCTACCCCCGCTCCTGTCGCGGCCACGCCCACACAGCCCCACCCCTCCCGTAGCCCGCCCCTCGCCGCCACGCCCCCGCCCTACCTTGCGGCCCGCCCTCCCTTAGCCCCGCCCCTGTAGCCCCGCCCCAGTAGCTCCGCCCCGCCTACCTTGCGACCCGCCCCTCCCATAGTCCCGCCCCCAGCAGCCCAGCCCCGCCTACCTTGCTGCCCGCCCCTCCCTTAGCCCCGCCCCAGCAGCCCCGCCCACCTTGCTGCCCGCCCCTCCCTTAGCCCCGCCCCAGCAGCCCCGCCCACCTTGCGGCCCGCCCCTCCCTGGTAGCCCCGCCTACCTTGCGGCCCGCCCTCCCTTAGCCCCGCCCCAGCAGCCCCGCCCACCTTGCGGCCCGCTCCTCCCTTAGCCCCGCCCTGGTAGCCCCGCCTACCTTGCGGCCCGCCTCGTTGTTGTGCAGGTTCATGAGGCGCCGCGCGTTCTTCTTGATCTCGCGCGCGTCCACGAAGCGGCGGGAGAAGTCGATGCCGTAGCGCACGTCGGCCGAGCAGCCGCCCCACTTCCAGCCCTCGGCCTGGTTGTAGAAGCCCTGCTTCTCGCGGTCGCAGCCGCAGTTGCTCAGGTTGCCCTGGCTGCAGGCGGCCGTGACGGCGTGCGCCACGCCGGCCGCCGTGATGGCGTAGGTGAAGGCGGCCTCCCGGCTCCCTGCGGGGTGGGGGGCACACACGTGAGGCCGGGCTCCGGGGCTCCGGGGGCCCTGACCCAGCGGGCTGCAGATCCCCCAGCGTAGGCACCCCCTGGACAGGCGAGGCCCGGCCTCTGCCCCCCGTCCCCCAGGGGCCAGCCCGCTGCAGACCCGTGGGCCCCAGCAGGACCCACAGAGCCCAGAGCTACGCGGCCTCTGCCCGCCTACCACTCCGTGACCACCAGTCACCTGTCCCCAGGCCTCCTGTTCCCTTCTACACCCCCGCCGGCCTGCCTGAACCCAGCCCCGAGGATGTGGGTGCGGGCCTCCCTGCCTCCCGCTCCCCAGCCACCGCCCGGTGGGCCCAGGGGGCAGGCCTGGCACCTCCGCCCACACCTCCCTCCGCAGCTCTCCTCGGCCTGAGCTGGGCAGGAGCCACGGCCCAGACCCCAGTCTGCGCCCGCCCTCCAAGCCCCGTGCCCACCCCGGCCTCCGCCATCAAAACGTCGCCCCTTCAGCTGCTCACGTGCCCTGGGGCTACCTGGTCTTTTGGTGGAATCCCCTCTCCTTCCTGCCCAGATCCTGCCCTTCCTACCCCGTCCCCATGCCGCCTCCGGGCAGCCCTCCCGGGCACCGCCAGAGTGAGCCCTGCTGCCGGCCGCCTTCGCGGCAGCTCTGACCTCCGGCTCTCCACGCTGTCCGCCTCCTCAGCCCCACGGCGCGGCTTCCCGGCTACAGCGGGTCCGAGGCCCCTGGGAGGACGGGTCCAGCTCCAGTTCCCTATTCTCCACGGCCCCTGGGCAGGCCCTGTGCCCCGCACCATCCTGCCCGTCTCTCGGCCCCTGTCCCCGTGCCCATGACCAGAGGCCCCTGTGGGCCCAGCCGGCGCTGCGGGCACAGGGCTCAGCGGTGCCGCCGGGACCAAGCCCCACTCCGGGGGACGACCGGAGTCCCACAGGAGGAGCAGCTGGGACCCGCGCCCCGCCGTCCACAAGCCCGTACCTGTCCCCGGCCGCTGTCCCTGCTGCCGGGGCTGGGTGACCTGGAGGGTCAGGCCCGTCCCACAAGCATCCACGCGCGCTGTCTGCCTGCCTGTGCTTGGCGCTCACTGTGTGCTCGGGTCCACCTCCTCACGGCTACCCGCCCGGGACTCACTCAGAGGGTCCCCGTGCTCCTGGGGGCTCACCCTGGTGAAGGCCTTGTTCCCTGGGCGCTTGCCCCACAGCCGGCTCAGAGCACGGCCTCCGGGACCAGCTGACCACAGGGCTCTGCTCCCGGCTCCTTAACCAGCCTCCCTGCAGCCCGGGGCGTGGCCTGAGGTGCCAGTCCTGAGCCATCAAGGCCGCTGACCAGGGTCGCCCAGACACGGCGGGACCATGGGGATCGACCCCCTGGCTCTAAATCAGGCCCCTGTGCTCGAAGGGCAGTCCACTGGCTGTTAAACTCCTTGCTGTGCTGCCCAAGCCCAGCACAGCCTGCTGATGAGGTCGCAGGACACACGGGCAGGAGCAGTCCGCCGGGCGGGGGACCAGGGAAGGAGGTGACTGTGGGCTCAGTAAGAAGGGGCCACAGGGAGGCATGGCACCTCAAAGGACACCTGGCCCTCCTCATGGGGTGGGGAATCTGGGGAGGCTTCCTGGAGGAGGTGACCCCTTAAAGTTTAACAAGACGCACGTGTTGCCTTAACCAGTTTGGCTCAGTGGATGGAGCATCAGCCTGCGGACTCAAGGGTCCCCGGTTCGATTCCGAGCAAGGCCACGTACCTTGGTTGCGGGCATATCCCCAGTAGGGAGTGCACAGGAGGCAGCTGATCAATGTTTCTCTCTCATGGATGTTTCTAACATCAATAAAGTATATATATATTAAAAAAGAAGAAGAAGAAGAAGAAGAAGAAGAAGAAGAAGCAGCATGTGTTAACTCCCTGTGAGTGTGTGTGGCATCTGAGTGTGTATAGACATGTATGGTGTGTGCACGCGTGGTGTGTGGGTGTGTGTGCACATCCCTGCCCCGGCAGGAGCCAGGCGCAGAGGATGGCGGTTTGGTGCTGAGGCCGAGGAGTGTGCGGTCAGAGGAACAGGAAGGGGAGGGTGAGGACGGGGGGCCCTGTGCGGGGCTGGGGTGGACGCAGTGCAGCGGGATGAGAGCTCACGGCCGCACGAGGGGGGCGGCCCGGGACTGGTGGAGAGGCCGGCAGAGCCGTGGGGCCAGGCGGCCGCCGCTACCATCAGCAGCTGCCCCGCATCCCAGCATCCTCTGGCCCAGTGGCTCCCAGCCTTCCTGGGGCCGCCACGGCCCTTTAACACAGCTCCTGTGTGGTGACCCCAACCATACCATCATGTTCGTTGCTACTTCGTAACTGATTTTGCTGCTCTTATGACTCTTAACGTAAACATCTCTGTTTTCCGAAGGGTCTTAAGAGACCCTGCTAGCGACTCCCGACCTGCAGGTGCGGCCATAAGGGGAGGGGTCGCTGTGTTCGGACAGCCTGGATCTTGGGAGGGGGCGGGAAATAGCAGCGAGCCAGCAGGTGCGTGCTGAGTGCGGGTTCGGGAGCTCAGGGAGACCCAACCGGCTTCAGAGGGCATGACAGCAGCCAGGCACCGGGGAAGGGGGCGGGCGGAGAAATCACAGACGATTGTGCAATCCTGCCAGGAGGCCGGCCAAGTCCTGCCTGAGCCTGACCCTCTTCTCCTCTCCCCCCCCCCCCCGCCCCCCCGGCCCAGGAGCCCACGGGACTCCTCCCGCGCCCCGCAGGTGCTGACTGTGCCTGGGGAGGGCGGGCAGGAGCTCCCCATCCTTCGCCCGGTGCGCTCCCACCTGGCCAAGCCCAGGCCCGGCTCAGACTCGGTTACTCATCAGTTACTCACCGGGCCGCCACTCCCGCTAATTCCTTTTTTATTTGGTTTTAATGAGCCAAACCCTCTTGTCTCACCATGGAGACGGGGAGGGGGGCAGGAGGGAGCCCTCAGTTGGGGAGAACCAGGAGGCTGGCCCCAGGTCCTGGATCCACCTTCCGCACGCTGTACGCGCACCTGCTCAACTCTCCCGGCGGCCCGGACAGACCTGGGCCCCCGCTCGGGTCCCCCGCGCTCGCCCGGGTCAGTGTGCCCAGATCGCAGCCTGCCGCCCGGCCAGGCCCTGGGTTGCTGCCCCAGGGGGAGTGGCCACGAGGGCTTAGGAAGCCCCTCAAACCCTGGGCCTTGCTCCGCAGCTATCTGGCCCCCTGGCCTCTGAGATGCCCCGAGCCCTGCCGGCCTGACTCCGCCCACAGGACCCCGCCCACCACCACCTGCAGCTTAACTTGGCCACATGGGCAACTGGCCCGTCTGCAGGCAGGTCGGTGGCCGCCAGGGTGCACCGCTCTTGCCCAATGGACCATCCGGCTGGGCCCTGCCACGGCCCTGGGGGGCCCTGGCCCTGGCCCTGCCTGGGGCGCCTACCACTGCTCACAGGCTGGCAAGCTCGGCACACCTGGCCGGCCCTGCTCCTGGCAGCCCCGTCGGATGAGGTGCCCAGGGGCTCAGGGTGGTGGGCATCTGACCCTTTGGTGCACCCCAACTCAATGTTTCCTGGACCCCAAACACAAGCAGGGGTACGGGGAACACTGTGGCCTGCCCGGCCGTGGCCACAGTTCCGCTCACCCGGCCCCCTGTCGAGCTGTGCTGCCCTTGTTTAAAGAAAAGAAAACTGGCCGAAACCAGTCTGGCTCAGTGGATAGAGCGTCGGTCTGCGGACTGAAATGTCCCAGGTTCAATTCCGGTCAAGGGCATGTGCCTTGGTTGCAGGCACATCCCCAGTGAGGGGGTGTGCAGGAGGCAGCTGATTGATTTCTCTCTCATTGATGTTTCTTTCTAACTCCCTATCCCTCTCTCTTCCTCTCTGTAAAAAAAAGAATAAAATATATTTTTTAAAAACTGGCTCTTCTATAACAGCCACAAAAGCACCCACCCAGTTAAAACCAGGAAGAGGACCCGATAGCCTTTCTCCGAACAAGAGTGCAGCAGCAGGGAGTGACCGGGTGCTCAGCGCCACCCTCAGGGAAGCACCGTGAAAACCCCCACCCGGCCGGCGGGCTCAGCCGCTGAGCATCGGCCTCGGAGCCAGGCGGTCAGGGTTCGATGCCTCGTCAGGGCACAGGCCTGGGTTGCAGGCTCCACCCCAGAGGGAGGCGTGCAGGAGGCAGCCGATCCAGGAGTCTCCCATCATGGATGTTTCTCTCTCCCTTCCTCTCCCTTCCTCTCTGAAGTCAATGCAAATATATATATATTTCAAAATCACCGTGAGAGAGCCCGCACCCCTGATGCGTGGCTGAAACAGACAGGCAGCGAGCAGCAGTGGCAAAGAGGTGGCGGGATCAGACCCCGCACGCTGCCGGCAGCCACGCTGCAGCCGCTGCGGAGCCGCTCAGCTGTCCGCCGGTGCTAAGCCTCGTTCCCGAAGGACCCAGGCCCCCTCCTTCGCACCGACTCCAGAGAAAGGACACACTGTCCACACAACCACAGCCCCAATGCCACAGCGGCAGGAGGGACAGAGAGGCCGTGGCCCGTCCACCCGCGGACACTGCCCAGCCGCGAGGAGGAGCTGCGCCCGGCGGGCCTGGACCAGGAGAGCTGCCGGACATGGCCACGTGTGCGTGAGGCCATCCCCACGGCGTTCGGACAGCAGGGGACGTGGCCAGGGGCTAGGGGTGCAGAGCGGCTTTTGAACGAAATGAAAGGATTCCGACCTGGACTGTGGTGCCAGCGGCACACTGACCACGCCACGCGGCACGCACACGGCAGACCGGTGAGGTGTGTGGTGTGAGGGGAGGTGTGATAACACAGCAGCGGATGGTTTTAGGGGACTGTATATAGCTTGTCATACTCGCTTTACACCCTCACAGCCCCCCTCCCCCTCCCCGCAGTCAGGGTGCTCGGCGCAGAGGAGGCAGGAGACTGGCCCAAGGTCACGTGGCAGGCCAACCACAGAGCAGGGATCTGACCCGGGCCCCGAAGTCTGTGCTCAGACCCCTCTCCACGCA